CACCTCCTTTTCTGTTGTACAAGGCTACAAAAACAAAGGCTTGATTGAAGCCTGCCAGGGAGTGAAGTCCTGAAGTCCCTACCCCCAACACAACAAATTCTGTCTACAGAATGGCGACAACCCCTTGCCCCGTTAGCATTTCTAATATTAGAGACAGGAAGCGTACATCTATCACTTGTGTACTTCTTGCTATTTTCCACCAGATGTTCCTACCACCACCATTTCAATTGTCCTCAGGTCCAAAGACTCCAAGAAGCCTTCTTAAGAGCACTTAGAGAAAGGAAGAGGGAAGGGCCTTGGTACCCCAAGGCACCCAAAGCCATACACATCTTCAGGAAGTAGTAGCGCCTCCTTGTGGACTTTCAAGATATTGCTACTAACAAAGAAACATTGCTCAATTCTAGGCATATACACGGTTTCTAACAAAACAACCAGTAACTGCCAAGATTTTCCTACCTTTGTGCAAAAGTGCAAAATCCCCAAGTTTTCTCTCCATTTGCAACATCAAACCATAAACACAAGCACTGCTCACTTGAGTAACATCAGCAGCCACATGATTACCAGGAAAAATGTACATGTTATCAGATGATGTAGGACAAATCTGGAATTCTTGAATTTTTACAGGAAATATAAAGGAACTGCTAGCTCAAGTTAACTCAAGTTTCTAAGCCTCTAAGCTTACCACATCCAACTCCCTGCTTCTTTCTACTGCTTGCTGAAGAGCTCTGCTATGAGTTAAAAGGACAAAGGGACAAAAGACATTTGCTTCAGACAGAGGACTTGCATAATCTACCCTTGTCATGGAGTTAACACAAAACTTACAGGAGAAAACAGAAAGATAAAATTACCTTATATAGCCGGGCGCTGGTGGCTCACAACTGTATCTTAGCTACTCAGAAGGCTGAGATCTGAGGATCATGATTCAAAGCCAGCCAGGGCAGAAAAAGTCTGTATGACTCTTATCTCCAATTAACCACCAGAAAACTGGAAGTGGTGCTGTGGCTCAAGTGGTAGAGTGGTTGCCTTGAGCTGAAGAGCTCAAGTATAGTGCCCAGGCGCAGAGTTCAAGTCCCACGACAGACAAGGAAAAAAATTTACATTATATGGAAACAACTCACCACATATCAACTAATTAAAACAGGGGAAAAAAAACTTAAAACTTCTATCCTACATGATCATAAAACTCCTGCTCTGGATGGAACAAGAAGCCAGAAGTCTCAGTCAAGAAAGAGACAACCGATTCTTGTTCATCTACAACAACTGCATGGCATAACACACATTTCCCAAGCGTTCAATTAATATAAAGGAACATATATTTAGAATAACAAACAGATTAGAACTTGGGAAGAGGAAATACCACAAGTTCCTGACAGTTCCTAAAATAGATCAGGTACACATTCCTCCCATGAGAATAAAAGTACCTGAATAATACACATATATTTTATCTGCTCATTAGCCCAGAAGAATTAAAACACTCAACATATAAAAAAGGCAGCTTTGACAAGTTTACATTTAAGCAAATAGCTACTTCACTGAAATCAAAGATGAAAATGCTAAGTCTCTCTGAAACCACTATAATTTACTGGAATAGGCGTGTTTTTAAGATTTCCTACTTGAATTTCATGAAAGATGAATGAAGTGTAATGACTTAAAGCGCCAATCTGAGAGCTTGTTAACTGTAACAGTTTGGGTAGGGTCAAGGGCCAGAGCCACTGAAAAGCTTAGATTCCTGAATCCAGGTATTACAATCAAAATCAGGCAAGATTACTTCTTAACCCCTCTAATTACTCAATCAACAAACTGCCACAGCCCACTGTGGGGCAGAGGTGGTGTCTCCTGCTGCCTATGCAACAGGGAACTGGCAGGCCTACTCCTACCTTCCTGAAGCCTCCGGCCATGGAAGAACTCCACCATCTGCAGTTTCTTTTCTACTTCTTGTGAGCATTTCTTGGCCTATCTAACATACAATCTGTCAGTATTCTATGAGAGACCGCCCCACCTCCTTTCCTCTTCCATCATCAACTTCAGTCATACAGGTAGCTGTGCAGCTCGGCACCTGCAGCGCTCAAGTGCACTCAGGGCCTTCATGTTTGCTGTGCCTTCTGCCTAAGCCATTCTTCCTCAGCTTCTGCCCTCATTCAGCTCTCAGCCCAAACCTTCCTACCCCAGATAGGCTTTTCTGGCCACTAAATCAACTCTACCATAGTCACCCTATTTAATTACTTTCCTGGTACTTATTACTATCTGATATCATCTCCTTTATTGTTCCTTTGCTTTGTATTCATCTCTCCAAATCAGAAGGGACTATGTCATCGCTAGGTGTGTCTGTCCTGTGCACTGCTCTATCTTAGCCCTCAGAAAAATGTCTAGAATATTATCAGATAAGTAATAAATACCTAGTTAAGAAGAACAAATATACATAGTGTTAGCAGTTCTGTACCACAAGAGTACTGCAAATGAAAACACCTTCAATGCTAAAACATTTGATCAGAGAGAGAGAGAAAGAAAGAAAGAAAGAAAGAGATCATAGCTTAATAGGCTCAATTTCTAATATTATCAACAATTTACTTTTAAAGCACTTTTTAAAGATATTAATTTCATTTGTGAAAAAAAGAGCAAAAACAAATATATGTAAAAGCATCAGTCCTGCTGAATCAGTAACTCTCTCTCAAACTGCACTGTTACTAAATCATGTACATTAAAATATGACACTGGTAACCACTTACAGGAGGTGGGGATTTTAGTATTTAATGGCAATCAAGTTTTATGAAACACAAGATTGACTTCATCTTCAATCTAAATGAAAGTGTAAGCCTTTGCTAAATGTTCACAGTATTTTAACTCTTAAGATTTTTTTCCCCAATCTATGTCTGTTCCTTTCTTTGCTGAAACAAAAGGAAGATGACTTCTGTAATGACCATCATGGCTCACACTTCACAGAAATGATGCTGAAGAGAATTTGGATGGCACCAAAATCCTATAAAACCAAACCACATACACTGGGGAGGAACAGATTGATTTCTTGCAGTGTGATGTAAAGAAGCAAGTTGTTACTGCCTTTGGGCCTTTGAGGATAAGAGAATCCATTTAAAAGCCTCAAAATGAATGTTTTACAGTATCTTTACAGCAAAATATTAGAAACGTACATCTCTCTCAATAAGAGGTTAAATGAATTATGGTTCACCTTTAATGGAGTACTTACTCAGCTGCTGTTAGAATGAGACATCTCTCCCAGGTACTGATAGAGACTGCCATGATTTACTTAGTAATCTGGGGGAGGGGGGAGGGAGGAGGGGAAGAACCACTGGGTGTGGAACAGAGTATACAATGTAGACTTATTGGTGCAAAGACAAAAAGAGCATGTACAAAATGTTTATAGAACAGGACTATGTCAAGAAACCAGTGAGCTCCCGTTCCTGGGGAAGGGAACTGGACTCCCGTGGGACAGGGTGGGTGAGAGGGACACTCTCCCCTCTGGAACTTTTTCTGCTGAATCTTTTCCAGCATGAACAGATTCTCTGCCCCAGATGGTATTAATACAATAAATTTTAACATAATCATTTATATTATTACCAACATAGTCATCAAAAGTGCCCAAAAGGAAACATATTCAAAAATCCTAAAATATGCACCCTGCAGTAGCAGTCCCTCATCTTATTCTCCTGAGGAGGGGGTCTAAGTCTCCACTAATGACAGTGGCTGGCTTGTGATCTCACCTATTACAAAGCAAATCTGCCTCAATGCAACTCTTGGAGAGAAATAGCGGTTCAGTCCACCTTGGCTCATATTTAAGTTGGGCTTATATAATTCCCTAATGGCCCCAACAAAAGGAGCACTTCCCACCTGGAAGTCAAGGGAAGAGGCAGGGAAGAGGACCATGTCCTGATTTTAAAAGCAGAGACTATACTTAGGTTTCTGTTTCTCTGCCAGGCTACACAAAGAACCCTCTGATCATAGTGAAATATAATTTCGGACCTGTAGCAAAATAATCTCTTAAGGGGGGGGGGGGAGGGGGTACATCATTTGTACCAAACCAATAAATGCTCTGCTTTTCTTTTCTCATTTGTGAAAAAGGACAGTTGGCTTTAAGTTTTACTTTTGGCACCACTTTTGGATCCTCTTCTAAATGACAACCAAGTCACATTAGTTTGATTCTAAGCAAATAGCTTTAAAAAAAAAAAAACAAATATGAAACTGAAGGTTAACAAACTGGAGGGCAAACTTTAAACAAACTTTTGGTTGGGGGAAAAAAAAGTATCCTAAGAGAACACACGAGAAGTAAACGCTCAGAACTCATGTCTTATAAACGTTAGTCAATAAAGTACACGCTGTATCAATATCTGACTGCATTGAACACACATCCAAGAAAGAACACGACGATCACAAGTGCAAATAAAAGACCTCAAGTATACACACATACACACACACACATATATGCAGCCGAAGATGGGAGACGGGATGACATTATTCAAGCCCTCGAGTAATTTTTTTTAACCAGCACTTGACTTGCAGTTCGTTTGTTTTCTGTTTTTCATTCGGCCTGAAGTCACGATCCCCAACTCTGCGCTTTAGACACCGCATCAGACATGGCATCTTTCAATGAAGCCTAACTTTGGTCATCATCAACCTTTGTCAAACTTGGGGTTTCCTGAGCAGCGCGCCCCCGGGCACAGGCACGCGAACACACCGAGGACTGGACACCCAGCCGGGATGAGGGGGTGCCGGAGCCCCAAGCCGTGTGGCAGGTCACATCTGGGGGGGGGGGGGGGACAGAATGAAAGCTCCTTCCCATTCCCAGGTGGTCACCGCCGGCCTCGGGCCTCGCCGCCCCGCGTGGGGCCGCGGCCGGCGGCGGGGGCGGCGGTGCCCCGCGGACTCCGGAGTGACCCCGGCCGCGGAGAGGGCGCGACCCCGCGCCGCGCGGCCCCCGCCCGTCTCCCCGGACGCGGCCCGCGCGCGCCCCCCGCCCCGGACCGCGGCGCCGCGCCTCCCGCACTCACCCGCCGCTCCCCGGTCATCCCCCGCCGTCCGCTCGGCCGCCTGGGCCGCCGCCCCGGGGCAGCCCGGAGCCCGCAGCCACCACGGGGGCTGGAACCGCGAAGGAGGGGGCCGGGCACCAGCCACTGCGGTCGTCTCGCTTCCCGGGTCCCCAGCGCTCGACTTCCCTAGGCAGCCACAGACCGAGGGCCCTCCGCCGCCCTCCGCGCTCTCGGGGAGCCGCCGCCGGCGCCGCCGGGACGCACCGCTAACGGCCACGGTCACCGCCACCACCGAGACGCTCCTGAGCCGGACTGCGGCGCGCGGGGGCGGCGTCTGCACGCCGCTCGGCGGGGGGCGCAGCCGGCGCGGGGCCCGCCCCCGGCCCCGCCCCTCCGCCCGCGCCGCGCGGCCCCGCCGCCGCAGCCCCAGGCCCCGCCGCGCCCGTGCGCCGCCCGCCGAGGGAGTCAGGGCCGCGGGGCCGCGCCCGCGCGCCCGCCCGCTGAGGGAGTCAGGGCCACGGCTTCGCGCGCGCGCGCGCGCGGGCCCGGCGCAGAGGGTGGGGCCTCTGCGGAGACTGTGGTGGCGAGGCCGACCTCGGAAGGTCGTGGAGCAGCTGTGGAGAGCGAGAGGGCCCAGCCGGTGCAAATCCCAGGAAAGTCCGGCGGGGGCCGCGGCGGCCCTGCGGCGGCGGCACGCCGCCAGTGGCGCCCCGGGGGCAGGGCGTCGAGGAGCAGGAAGCGCGGGGTGGTCTGTGCACACGGACCCCGGCCCCGCTCCGGGGCGAGGGGCCGCGCCCGGAGGGGTTGGACTGTGTGACTTACCCACACTGCCCCTGCCGCTGCGGCCGGGCCACGGCGGGACACCTTCCCTCTTGGGGTGCAGGGCGCCCCCCAGCCCCGAGGGTCCGCCCGGGCACTTGGCGACTATCCCGGAGCCATCCAGCCTTGCCTCACGAGGCGTGGTGGGCCTGTTTGCGAGGAGCAGAAACGAAGCCCTTAATGGGCCGAGACTTCTTTCCTCCTGCATTGTTCCCATTTCCGCCGTTTCCCCTGGCCCGGGCGTGTGTTCTCCCTGGCCCGGGCGTGTGTTCTCCCGGAGCCGTGCGCCCCGTGGCACCGGCCCCAGGAGCGATCCGCGAGGGCACAGCGCTGAGATGTTGACGCTCCGCGCCCGACGCGCGAGTTCTCTTGGGCGCGTACGTTCCGCGGGGCTCACAGGTGTGCCAGAGCGTCCCGGCGCGCAGTCGCGGCCCCGCAGGCAACCTGCGTGGGGAAGCCGCGGGTCTGCTGCAGCCGGGATTCATGCCATGCGCCAGCGCCAAGGCCCCAGCGGCTTTGGTGGTTGGTGTTTTTTCTTCTTTTTTCCCTAGCGACCTTTGGGTGAAATTCCAAGGCAGTGTTTGGAAATTAGCAAGCGGAAGCTTATTCTGTAAAATAGTTCTGCCGTGGGCATCAAAACACCGGAAAGTACAGAGATTGCAAAGTAGATGGCATAGGTACATGTTTCACAGCAAAACACACTGTCCTGAAGGTGTCGTGGTGGCTTATCCGAACACCACATGCTTCCTGCTTCACGAAGAACAAAAACCTGGATGAGGCGCTTTGGAAACCCCACTTAATATGTAGGACATTGATTTTGTTTATAACCCATTCTTGATTTCTCCATGGGTTAGCTTTCATATTGGCTAATCCTGTAACTGCCTTTTCTATTAGGCCTAAGACCTACAGCCAACAAGAGTACTTTTAGGGGCCTACAAAAAAAATAGCCTAAAATGTTTTCCGATCAGAAGAAAAAAAATAACATTTAGATTTAAGAACGTGTTTTAATATAGTGATATAGTTGGCTTCATATTGTGCAAACTTAAAAATCTTAAATTATTGTTTAATTGAGAAAGGGATTCAGTAATGACCTGGGTCCAAGAAAAGCATTATTCAGTATTGTTGCTAGAGGTTGAAAAGAAATTCAAATATAGGCAACACAATAGCTTCACGTTAAATGCTGATTTCTGTGTTCTTATTCTCTTATAATGTGTTTGCTATTTTAGTTCAAAAGGCACCTAGGAATCCGGTGCTGTTTTCATACCTAAGAGCTGCAGGCTTTGTGGTGATTTGAGTGTTCCTCTGAAAGAAATAAAAAAACAAAATGAATACCCCATGGCCACGCTGCTCCTGCACTGTCCAACACAAGTGGCAATGACAGAAAGGAGTCCAATTGGAAAGAGACCTCACTCTCAGCTCTGGGAATATCTTAAGTTTTGCAAATTATATAAAAATATAAGACCATGTGAGTGAATTGTTAGACTCTTGAATGGGACCTAAAAGATGTGCTTGAAGTCTTGTGTTTCACAGAAAACCTGTCTTCAATGAACTCATTCTGCAGGTGAGAAACTAAGGAACTTGCCACAGCCTTCCCCATGACTCACTGAAAAATGCTTTGAAGAGTTGTGGTTACATAGTTCTCCATGAGAAATAATGGATTTCATATTTCCCTAACAATATAATGGATTTTCTTTTCCATAAAGCAAGAATGTAGCAATAGTACGACTAGGCCATAACATAGTTTGGGGTACTTGATATGACACTACTGACTGCCCTGTCAAGGGCAGTCAGCTATTATATAAAAATATGAATTAATCAGATGAGAGTCTTAAAAAGAATACCAGCTCAAGTTCAAATGCCAAGGGTTGACAATTTTTAACATATTTGGAACAGTTTATTTTGTAAACACAATATTAACTATTTGTAATTTCATGAGAGGTGGTATATTGTTTAATGTTTACGTGGTATAACACAAAGAGCCTGACACATAGTAGGTCTCCATAAATAATTGTAAAAATAATAGAATCAAAAGTATCATATAATTAATAGTATAGTTTATATGACAAGTTAAAATTGAATGGAAGTGAAGCAGCTGAATGAATGAAGTGCACATACTTGTGAATAAGCAGATTTCTTAATTATTTCATATTCAAGATGTGTGCTTTTCTTTCCAGCTATTAGTCTCTGCTTTTCTATTTTGTCATCAGTGTCTCCTCTTCCTCCTCTTTTTCTTCCTCCTTCACTTTCCTTTCCCTTATTCTCTTCTTCCTTCTCCCCTTCCTTCTCCTTTGTAAATAAGATTTTTTAATTGAAATTCTTAAAACGTAAAGGAATATTTATAAGTAAAACAAAATAATGATAATCACATCTCTAATGTAAGTTCCAGGAATAAAAGTCTGTGTTCTTTGCAGCATCCCACAAAAGCAACAAACTTTAGATGAAGAGGGTGAGAATAGTTATTAACTTAGAATATCTTGCCCCTTAAACAAGTTTCTCCAGATGAATGACCTAATATGTGCAGTGTCGATCAACAAGAAAAGGGCATGGCTGTTTTTCCGGAAGAAATTTTGGAGCCAGATAAAAATTTTTAAATTAGAGCTGGGAAGGTGGCTCAGTGGTAGAGTAGCTTGCCTTGCATGCCTGAGGCCCTGGGTTTGATTCCTTAGCACCATATAAGCAGAAAAAACTAAAAGTGGTTCTGTGGCTCAAGTGGTAGAACACTAACCTTGAGTTGAAGAGCTGAAGGACAGTGCCCAGGCTGAGTTCAAGCCCCATGACCTACAGAAAAAAAAAATTATAAGTTAAAACTAGTTATTCAGTAGTGACTAGTTGAAATGAGTAAAACTTTATTTTAAGCCTCACTGATAAATGTAGATTTAAATTTATTTTACACCACAATTTTGGACAAAATTTAAAACTTTAATTAGATCTGTGGACATATGAGAGTACTCAGATAATTTTCTCTAGATTTGATACTCTTTATCCAAAGTGGCTTCAAATGCTATTTCAGGGGTATGAAAAATATGATAAACACTATGAAAGAAAAGTATCTGCTCTGCATTCTGTTTAGAATATTCTCTCTCAGATAAAAATTATTTCAGAGTGTAACATAAAGTGTTTTGATAACTCACTACATCCTTTGCATGACCCCAACAGGATTGCATTTTATTTGCCTTTTGTTTATTTGTACAGTGCCCTCTTCCCAAAGAGACTTAAAGTGGTTTACAATAAAACACAAACATTAAAAAAGAAAAGACTGAAGAAAAACTGGCTAAGGCAAGAAATAGTATCTGAGTACAAAACTTGGTTTTCTGCTTCCTCATGGTCATGAACTAGGGGATATGAGAATGTTCCTAGCCCTCACTGTCAAGTGGAAATAATCATAGAGAAAGTCTTTCCCAGTCCAATTCTGTGAGGAATTGTCAGAGGATTCAAAAGTCTAAGGATGACTACCCAACAATTTCAGCCATCTCTTTGTAGCAAGAAAAGTTGTTTTTTTTCCCCCCAAACAACTTTGAAATCGTTATTGTTGGAAGTAAATAGTGAGTTCCTACAGTTATTTTTTTATACTGGCCTTTAAAGTCATTAACAATTTAACACCAAATTTTGTTTTTCTCAGTTTGCCTCTCTAAAAATAGACTTAATTAAAGTACCTACCTCATAGGGTGGCAGAGAAGATGAAATGAGTGAACAACTTATTTCTACAAAACAGTACACCCTCAGTTAAAGTGTGTAAGTGGTCTTCCCCCCCACCTCTTGTCACAGAAGAATTTTATTTGACCACCACAAATTCCTTTTGGAAGAACACATGGCATTTGTGTCTGACACAGAATAAGCAATAAGTACTTGCTGGGAATGCCACTATTATCTTTGTTTATTTTATCATATGATTTATTTTATTGTAAAGGTAATGTACAGAGGAGTGACATAAGTCAGGCAATAACAGTCTTTTTGAATAGTGTCATCTCTTCCCTTGTTTTCTTCCAATTTTTCCCTCCCCCTCCCCACAAGTGGTATAACCCATTTTCAGCATAGTATCTAATGAATATCACTGCTGCATTTGTTGCCCACTTCTGTGCTCTATTATCCCCCGAACAGATAAACTTACACACAATACAAAAGGTACAAATATTTTTTAAATGGCAATAAAGGAGAAAAAAAGCAGAATAACAAAAAACCTCGTTTTCATTTCTTGGAATCCATTTCAATAAACATCATTTTATATGATCATATGCACATAGCTATTGAGCCTTTGTGATCTTCTCCTAAGAATAGCCTCCTTTGGTCTCACTGCGAATGTTTAGAGTTCTGTTTGATTTATCATGTCCAAGTGTAATTTTGTCTTTTACCATCCACCGTGTTTACTTGTAGATTTATAGGCACATTCTAATTACTACAAATGAGAGAAACCATGCAACTTATGTTTCTTTGGGTCTGGCTTACTTCGCTTAATATAATTTTTTCTAAGTCTTTC